CGGTCAAGACGTGCATCACCTGCGAGGTGTCCTACTGCGACCGCTGCCTGCGCGCCACCCACCCCAACAAGAAGCCCTTCACCAGCCACCGCCTGGTGGAGCCCGTGCCCGACACGCACTTCCGTGGACTGACGTGCCTGGAGCACGAGAACGAGAAGGTGAACATGTACTGTGTTGCGGACGACCAGCTCATCTGTGCCTGGTCAAGACGTGCATCACCTGCGAGGTGTCCTACTGCGACCGCTGCCTGCGCGCCACCCACCCCAACAAGAAGCCCTTCACCAGCCACCGCCTGGTGGAGCCCGTGCCCGACACGCACTTCCGTGGACTGACGTGCCTGGAGCACGAGAACGAGAAGGTGAACATGTACTGTGTTGCGGACGACCAGCTCATCTGTGCCTTATGTAAACTGGTGGGCCGCCACCGGGACCACCAAGTGGCATCGCTCAGTGATCGCTTCGAGAAGCTGAAGGTAAGCGCCCGGCGAGCTGGCAGCCACGGCCGTCCAAGGGGCCGCTGTTGGCCGAGGGGCGGTTGTCAGTGCAGGGGCTGGTCCTGCTTCCCCAGGTGGCACCTCTCCTTCAAGCCAAACAGCTCCGGAAAGAGCCGTGGGCTGCGGGATGGGGCTGGTGGGCACTGTTTTCCGTCCTGGTTTCCCCTGAGCTGAAGCGGTGGAAAGGGGCCGCCGCTCTCCAGCCCCCTTCGCTCGTGGCACGTATTGATCCGAACTGCATTACTGTTCTGCGGCTCTCCAGGAGGGAGAGCGCGAGCTTCCCAGGAATCCCTCCGGAGGACTTGGAAGCTTAATTTTTATGCAGTGGCTGTGGTTGTGCTGAGTGTTATGTGAACCCGTATGGATGGTGTTTGACCTATATAGAGTTAGAAATTCCCCTCCGTCCCCCGTGCATTCCGCATGAGTCTGCAAAATGGTTTTAATTCCTCTTTTTCAATATTAAGAAAAAAAATAATATAGCTGGTCCTGTTAGAGGTCGCTCCGGTGAGGCTGTAACTGTGACAGCAGTCGTGTTCCCATTATAACCCTCCTCATGTGTTTCCAGCTACTTCTTCCTTGGTCCTTTCTGCCTTAATATTCTGGGCTTGTTCTGACACAAAAGTGCTTTTCTTGGCTCTTTGTCGTGTTAATATTTTGAACAGAATTGATTTGTCCGCCCTGGTGTTTTTTGAGGGCGGAAGAAATGTTTCTGTCACTCTAGTGAAAATGCAGAAGACTTTTTTTTTTTTTTTATGTGCAGATTATTCTTTTTCCTTTTTTTATTTTTTTTTTTGATGCCTGGAAAGAAATCTTTCTGGATATCTCGTTTCATGGGCTGGTTTCCCACCTGCCCATCTCCAAAAATCTCCCAAACCCAGTGCGACTTGCCCAGTGATGTGCCTTAAACACCGAAGAACATGCTGTAGGATGTCCTCTGCTGCATTTTCTTCTCCCCCGACGAGTTCTGCCTTTTGGTAGGTGCTGCCAAACGGTCCCGGTGCCGGCACATGCTGGTGCAGCGGCCAGGGCCCGCGGTGCTGCTGTTTGCCCTCAGACCTCGATGTCCCGCCGTCGTCCTCCCATCACGCCTCACCTAAGCTCCCCCCGCGCGCAGAGCGATGCCAGCAGCCCCGTCCCCAGTCCAGGACATTCTTTTTCCATGAGGAAATGTCTCAATTAGCAAATTGGAAACTTTAGAAAGAAATGACCGTGTATGTTTGCGCGCAGTAAAACCCGGGGGTAGAAATTAAAACCCTTTTAATGTTTTCCTCCTGATCCGGCCGTGTCGGCTGACCAGGCAGACCCGTCCAAACACGGAGACTCCTGACAGCCTAAATCACTTCTTCAACCAGCCAAGTGTTGCAGGTTGCCAGAACACCTTTTTTTTGTTTAAATAACAGTCTTAAGTGATTTTGGACGAGGAGGGAAGCTCTCCTGTGCTAGAAACATTCTTTCTGTGCTGTTCACCCTGCCCAGCTCCTCGTTCAGCTGCGGGAGCCGTAACCGAAGCGGGGAGAGGGCGGCCGCGATGCCTCTGCCCGCGCCCACCCGCCGGCGGCGGGGGGGGG